CTCCAACTGAGGACTCCTGAGGATAACCCTACACAGAGAACCGCCTGGAGGGGTTTACCTCAGGGGTCAGTCCTTAGTCCCATCCTATATAATATCTATACCCACGACCTCCCTTCTTGTCTAAATTATGATTGCAAAGTCCTCCAGTATGCTGACGATATCGCATTAATGGTCACTAGCTGCTCTATAACAGACGCTACCGCCTCCATGAATGTCTCTTTGACCTCATTATACCAATGGCTTCTTAATCATGGGTTATCTTTAAGCGCTCCAAAAAGCTCAGCTGTCATCTTTACACGCAGACGACGCCTTCCATACACTCTTATAGAGATAGACGGCCAGCCTATTCCAGTTGAGAGGAAGGCTAGGTTCCTGGGCGTTATCCTCGATTCTAGGATGTCGGGGGTTGATCATGTGGAAGCAGTAGTTAGAAGGTGCGAACGGTCAGTATGTGTACTTAGAGCATTAGCTGGGGTATGGTGGGGTGCTCACCCCTACACATTAAAGCTCATATATAATGCTTTGGTCAGAAGTGTGATAGACTATTGCTGCTTCCTTATGGCACCTTGCAATAAGGCAGCACTTAAAAAGCTAGATTCCATTCAGGCCAAATGCCTAAGAATAATTATTGGAGCTATGAAGTCATCCCCCATAAACGCTCTCCAGGTTGAGTGTGCAGAACCCCCCTTTGACCTTCGAAGACAATACCTGGCAGACCGTTTCGTTTCTAAAGTCCTTACCCGCTCTTCTCATCCCCTCCTTCCTATCCTTGAGCAAATCCACTGTTCCTATGACTCCTCTCCATATTGGAATAATAAACCTGTCCCACCTGCGATTGCTAGGTATAGGGAGCTTAAAAACCTCTCTGCACCTATCAGTCAATTCCCTATTCTCCCGGTTTTTTCTTCCGCATACGAAGTCATTCACTTTAGGCCAAAGCTAGTTCTGAGGTTGGGCATTTCAAAGACATCAGTTGACGCTAAAGGTGATTTTGAACGCGCGCTGAACAATTACTGGAACGGCTGGAATGTGTTTTACACGGACGCATCCAAATTGTCCCGAAACGGATGCACAGGAGTGGCAACATATTACCAAAACTCAATAATTGCTCTGCTCTCCAAGTGTCCCCCTGAAGCCTCTGTCTTCACTGGGGAATGTGTCGGCATTCTGGAGTCCATTAAATTTATAGAATCGCACAACCTCAGAAACTCGGTTATTTTCTCAGACTCTCTAAGTAGTTTACAAGCGCTCGGTCAAGACCAGCTTTATTCCCGAACTCATAGTAGTCTGATAATACAGATAAAATCTTTACTTTTCTCCTGCCAAAACGACGGACTAAATATTGAGATCGCTTGGATCCCTGGCCACTCTGGTATATGCGGTAACGAGTGTGCTGACAGGTTGGCAAAGTTTGCGGCCGTGAATAATGTTGAACGTCACCACTACATTGTGTATGGGTATGACATACGCGCGGATACCAAACTTAAGCTCTTCGACTCGTGGGCTGCAGTGTGGGTGGACTCCTCCAAGCGTAAAGGAGCTTACTACGCAAGTATCCAGCCCGACATCCGGCGGAAACCTTGGTTTTCCAAGTATAAAAAGCTTCCCAGACATACTATTTCGTCCTTGTGCAGACTCAGACTCGGCCACTGTACTAGTCCGGTATTCCTTGCCAAGATCCGTGTTCGTGACAGTTCACTGTGCGAATGCGGTCTTGATGAGGGTACTTTAGAACACATATTTTTCTCTTGCCCTTTAAATTCCCAGTCCCTTGATTTATACGGAAACCTTCCCAAATTCCAAATCCCTCTTCCAACCAACTTCCATTCCCTACTAAGTAATTTTACTAATAAATTAATTAAGTGTTTGTCCAAATTTATAAATGAAAATAATATTAAAATATGATGGTGTGTAATAAGTAATAATGTAAATATTTTGTGTTATTAAAATTTTCTCTTATATATTATCTAATTATAATTATATATTATATGTAAGACAATGTAATGTAAGTGTATTGGTGATTTATGTTTACTAACCCAAGTGTTTTGTCCTTTACAGTTACTAACAACTAAAACTACCACAAAGTTCAGTTCGACGGCCCAATAATCTGCCGTCATCACTCGACACTGGCAGTATAGTCGACAACACTGTATTGGAGACTCAGTTGCCAAAAAGGAAAAAAAAAAAAAAAAAAAAAACTATTAATATATTTTTGAAGCTGTTGTTGTTGTTATGGTATAAGCCGGTAAACGAGCAGACAGATTACCTGATGGTAAGCGATTGGCGTCGCCTATGAACACCACAATTTTATTACAAGTGCGTTGCCGGCTTTTTGGAAATTAAGAATTTGAGGATTGTTGAGGGTTTTTTTTAAGGGGGGGAAATCATCGAATGACTGCTCCCGTCTGGGTGAGGCGAGAGGGAGTGTCAGACTCTTACTGACTAAAACCTCCGGTAACCCGTTAGGTTCTCCGCGACATTGTTGAGGGTTTGGGAATTGAATACAATAATAATATTTTAATTAACAATTAATATTTCATTAAATATTAATTAATAATTATTGTATTTTTTATCTTTTCATCATGTTGCAACTGAGAGTTTTTATAATATGGCTTTTGTATTCAGTCTAGACATAGGAAGCTATAAAACAGGCTGCTTTTTATTCCTAACAAAAAAATAATTGTATAATAACAGGAGTTAGGCATCATATGAATAGTTAAATATACTAATTACCTCCTTCTTATCCTTATTTCTGTCAATATCCTTCTTCAAATACATGAGCACATCGAGTGATTCAGGTCTGGTTGTGTCGTACACCATGACGAACCCTTCAGCGAAGCCCAGGTAATGACGTTGCAGAACTTGGTTGGCGGTCAGCTGCATTGTTGGAGATTGCGGCGGTCCTGAGAATACAACTACTATTAGATGATGGCGTACCATTATAAGGGTATGTCCACAACTGACGCAGCGACTGGTGCCGTTCGCGAGCAGTCCGCGAGCTGCGCGCGTGCAGTCACGTTAATGCTCAACTCATACAAGATTCATTCATTCATTCATAAATAATAATTCTAGATGCACGCGCGCAGCTCGCCGGCGGCTCGCAACTGCGCATTCGCGGAGCATCTAGCATAAATTGATATTCTCGAAGTAACAAACTAATAAGATGGGAATTGTTAGTTTCGTCTTGCTTGATTTTGAAATGATGATGTGTAAACGTTCCGATTAACCAATGGTAGGCTGGAATGTAGATCTACACGAAACACAATCTATTTTGTCTCATATACCTGCACTCAATAAGTTAATACAATTTCAATGGAATCAATGGATACCTAATGATCACATCTACACATTTGAAAAGGTTGTAAGTGACTTAGATATTCATAACACACACCAGCATTTTTAATTTTCCAAAGAGCTATACCTTCAGAAGAACTCTAACAACTCCCTCTTGAGATAAAAATGTTGGTGTTATGTCATTTTGATTTCATTTTATTTTATTTTTATTAATTTTCAGCCATGATTGTCCTACTGCAGGGCATGGGTCTCTCTACCCTACTTTCAATAGTCTCAATTATATTTATAACTGTATTAACCCATATATCCCCAGGTGGTGACCGGTGACGGCTCTCCACTAACAACATTATAGACCTTATTTCCAAGGCATAGAGACCACTTTTGTAAGAACAAATTTAGGGGATGATTTTTTGACAGGTTAAATATTTACATTACAAAATCAACTATATTTACATCTTAATCTTTTACTTTGTGTATTTTCTCCTGAAAAATATAGAGTTGTGCAATCAGTAAGTACCTATATTAAAAAGAAATAATTTTAATAATTATTATTAAATATGTGCAATTTATTTTGCTGTGCTTGTTAAGGCTCATTTATAGTGTTAATTTTGAATAGCATTGTAGCTGACATCAGAGTATGAAATGATAATAATGATTACAAATAAAAAAAATATGACAATCTACTATTTTTTATAAGTAAAAAGCTGAGCATTACTGTATCAGCTTTTTAATCAAGTCGATAGTTTAAACAAGTAGGCAACTTGGCCGGTAGACCAAAGAACAACTGGTCTTGCTTGAAAAAACTACATTTGAATGAGATGTTAAAATTATAAATACATTATGTTGGTGGTTCTGAGACATCATATGAATTTATGATGTCTCAGAACCACAAAGTTGAAGAGAGAGGTAGTGTTTTATTTTTAAACTTTATTTACACATTTGAATCTTAGAAAAACGAACAGTCTTCTTCTTCTTCTTACCCATAGACAAGCATAAAAAAATACGCCAATATCAAAGCAGTGCCAACTGCCAGCCAGCCTGTACAAGCACTCAAGCAAAAATAAATCAAACTAGACTAAACCTTTAAACTCGCCTGTAAGCGGGGGCTCCAGTCCCGCCGTGTCATAGAAACAGACTCTTTCTTTAGTCCCCCTGTCAGTTTCAATATTGGCCACATAAATATCCTCAATAGTTGGGTAAAAACAAGACTTTAAATTCACATTTCCATAGATAAGTTGTTCTAATACTGCGGTTTTGCCAACCCCTTTCATCCCACATATAACAACTTTGCTCGTTTTCCCCATTTCTGTAACGTTTCGTAAGGTTTCACTTTCTAAACATTGCGGTGGTTTACTATTACAAAACTTGGTATAGTTCGTTAAGCGACGGAAGTAGGCAAATGTTACGATTTTTAATAAATTATGCGTTATAACTTTGAGCTCAATTCTGTATTTTGTATGGTTATTTTTCTAATTTCGTTGTCGTAAATTCCACTTTTACGAAACGAACGATTTCCGCAACTTGAACACTTTGCTTTGTTGATGTTGACAAATTCTTTGATTTGACATTGACGTATACATTTACATCGCTGTAGCTTTGTTGCGGAGTGCGCAGAAAAGTTTCCATGAAATATTATTTAAAACAATATTTAATCTTAGTTTTTATTATCATTTTAGTCATAGATATTATTGGCGTTGTACAGTAATTTTGATTATAATATATTAGTATACAAACAAGGCAATAGAAATAATAAAATAAAAAAAAAACACAAAGAAATTTGGGAAAGTAAAGTAACAATATGTAATTTTATAGATTAACCAATGCAACGGTGCAGCGAAGCAGTAACTGAAATCTATGGACGTAATAGTTGAATTCTAAAATAATAAAATACTAATGAAATAATATAAATAGTTGGTACTTGGTAGTGAGGACATGGGACCAAGCTTCGACGTTTTGAAATAATTTGAGATAAACAAAGTGATAGAAAATGATAAGGTTTTGAGTTGAGATAAGGACCGAAAGTTGAAATATTTTGGAAAACAATATATCATGTCGGAGAAAAAGAAAAAGTACCGAATTACAACTCTGTCGGTTTTACTAAGGTAGATTAATTTATCCACCATATTTATTAATTTATTACAATTAGTTTACGTCTAATTTTCCATACAAAAATAAAGTTTTTCTTTTTTTATGTTATGACATGAATTTGTGATGTGTTGACAATTTTTGACGTTTGACAGCGAAACTTTTAGCGAACCCGAAAACGAGACCATGGCGGCCACGGCTTTAGATTCGGAAATCACTAAAAGTGATAAATATTCTATATTATTACCTACTTACAACGAAAGAGAGAACTTACCTATAATAATATGGCTAATAGTCAATTGCTTAGACAAAAGGTAAGGCCCAGTAACCTTTATTTAACATAAAATTGCGACATAAACATTGGTGTTTCATTGTCACATTATTATTCATTTAAATATTTGTTGATTTTCGCAGTGGATATGACTACGAAGTGATTATAATTGACGATGGAAGTCCAGATGGTACTCAGGATATAGCCAAACAGTTGCAAAAGATATATGGGTCGAATAAGATCATTCTTCGTCCGAGGGAGAAAAAACTGGGGTTAGGCACTGCTTATATACACGGCATGAAGCATGCGACCGGTAATTTCATTATTATTATGGACGCTGATCTTAGTCACCACGTAAGTCTTTTATTAAACTATTTAACTTACCGCCATGATAACAATTATTTGTTGTACACTGAGTTCCTGTTGTTATCTAAAACTCCTTGATAACATCAAACCATATTACTATTATATGTACTACCATAATACTGCCTCGTTGGCCGAGTGTTCGCTAGAGCAACTGTCGCTCAAGGGGTCTCAGGTTCGAACTCGGATCGGGCGAAGTATAACTGGGTTTTTAAATATTCACAGTGGTAGCACGGAGTCTGGAATTGTGTCCAGTATATAGCAATAGGCTCACCCATAACTTAAATAGTGAAAAGTATGTGTTATAACACCATATAAAGTACAGTGGCCTAATGTGCACCTCTTGCTATTATTAACTAGCTACCCCTCACGCAGTTTCACCCCCTCTAATTGGCTCCTATATTGATCATAGCTTGATGCTTTATTGCCTCCTTATATAATTCCTTAGAACATCCTTAGATAATTTGACTATCTAAAACAAAAAGAACTTTTCAAATGAAATCAGTAGTTTCAGAGAATAGCATGTTCAAACAAAGAAACTTGAACTTTATATGTATATCTAAAATAGTATAAATTAAAATACACTACTCACCCTCCTCAATATAGATTCATTTTCAATTTCCAGCCAAAATTCATCCCAAAGTTCATAGAACTGCAACGCGAGCATGACCTTGATGTGGTATCTGGTACTCGGTATAAGGATGATGGTGGGGTTCATGGGTGGGACTTTAAACGGAAGCTGATATCACGGACTGCTAACTTCATCACCCAAATGTTGTTGAGGCCTGGTGCTTCAGATCTTACGGGGTCTTTTAGGTAAGAATGTATGCTACTTTTACCTGGAATCAAATTTAAAGAAATAAGTTTTCATAATACTCTATATTCACAATTTTTCTTGGTGCATTCACAAGCATAAAAAACATCTAGACCCAGATCAAAAATGTGTGGATCTTAGAAGCAGTTTTTTTTTCAACTATTATTATATTAACATGCAATATGTTAACAGCAACTGACTGGTTACTGTGAATTGGTGACTACCAAAGCACTGTACCAACCATGCAGTCTCTAATCCAGTTCATTTATAAATGAAATGTATTATTTTCTAATCATTTTGCATTATTTTTGAGTAACTAAGGATATACATAAACATTTTCCAGGTTATACAAGAAAGATGTCCTCCAAAAGTTGATAGACAGCTGTGTGTCCAAAGGCTACGTATTTCAAATGGAAATGATTATTAGGTAAGATCTTTGAAGTTATATTTTTTTTTATACTTAGTAGGTCGTTTGACCACCATCTTGTCTGCTGGTAAGCGATAATGTGGCTGACGAATATTGTAGATTTCTTTCGCAAAAGCATTTTTGTTTAATTTTTTTGTCATCATTATTCTTCTCGTAATTTATAATCCTCACATAGAGTGATTCAATATTGCAACATTCTTCTCACACTCCAATCTCTTGTTCATTTATCAATCAATGTCATCATCATGATATCAGCACATTCACTGCTGAACATAGGTGACCCGATAACTTCCAGATAAGCCGTTTTTAATACCATCTATATTCAAAAGAATAATTTTTGTCTACAAAAATTCCAACTAATCTCTAGTTTATGAAAAAATACTCCTAATTGCATATTCAAGAAAGTTTTCATGAAAATTTATTTTTTCTGAATTTATTCAAGAATGTTTTGTTTTCATTCTGAGTTCAGATTGACTAATAAGATATTATGACTATGAGGACTTAGCTAGCTAGCTTTTTCAAGTATATTTTCCCCTGATTTCATAAATGAAAAATATACTTCTAAACATGTTTTCCTTCCCAGGGCAAGACAACTGGATTACACTATCGGAGAAGTCCCAATCACGTTCGTGGATCGCGTCTACGGCGAATCAAAACTCGGAGGCTCAGAGATCATACAGTTTGCCAAAGCATTACTGTACTTATTTGCTACCACATAAAGTGTTATTTCCTACATTCCTCGTATAAAATATGTGTCAGTACAAGTTTTGTATGTATTACCAAGATAATATAGTAGGTGTCTAAATATTGGAAGTTGTATAATTTCTTGCCGTATTTTTTATGAATTTGCTTAACATAAGCAAGCCACTGTAATAATTAAAGTGCCCATTGAATAATATTTCTTTTTATTTACACATAGTCATTTTGGGCTATTTTCTGCAAAAAATATGTTTGAATTCAGTAAACAAACACAGACAATTAATTATAAAAAAATTACAAGACTTCTTTCAAGTCTTCCAATATAAATTATTGACCATGTACACCACACGCGACATAATATGTTGGCGTTGATAAAAAAAATATAAATATGTAGGTATAGGTATGTACCAGTCTTACATAAATGAAATCAATCAATCAATCATAATCCTTTTTGTGCAATTTTTGAGATAAGTACCAGAAATTATTATGTCCAATATCTTAATTTGTGTTAATTTAAGATACATTGTATGAACACTAATAATAAATTGATATTTTTTTAAATTTTAAAACTGATATTTTATTGATGTCACATTTATGTAGTTACAAATACCTGTCTTGAGCCTAAATTAAACGAAAAACGCATTCTGGTTTCGAAAACATGTTTTTGTTGTTTATTTCGAAATTACAATGAGACTTATTCAATCTATACACTTTGAAGAATTTGTTTGTATTAATGCGCTATTTTCAAGAATTCACTTTGAAATGAAAAAAACTCTGGCTCGATTTAAAAATAACATTTTTGCATTGTCGAGTAAAGGTCGAGGCTATAAAACAATACGCTACGATGAATAGGAGTAGAGCAGCGGCTCAAAACCCTGCGAGAGCAACTAGTAATGCTAAAACTGGAGAAATACATAAAAAGCGCTTAGATTTAACATATAGGTAAATAATAGGGTAGATCATTAATTTTTATTTTAATGTCCGTCTGGTAGATTATTTAAAAACATTAAACACGTATTTTTATTTTTTTTACGGAAACGAATAGTTTCGAAGATATATTGATTTGAAATGACACGTGATGCCACTTCTATGTACATTTTATACGTAGAAATGACGTTTTAGCCCCCACTCCCAAACTTTGATTCGTTAGATCTAAGTATTATTTTATTATACAACAAAATAAAAAAAAATACGTGTCTAATATTTTTTCATTACCTAACTGACTGACTAATTACATTTTTAAAATCGTATTCTATTTTATCACAACATACAATTTTCTTCAGGCGTACAATTAAACATTATCAAAAGATTATTTTACTCACGCAGTTTACTCGTAAATAGGTACCTACATTTCGTCACGCCCGTCCTTTCATACTCAACTATTTACTCGATCCAATATATTTCGCTTACTTTACACTTTAAATTATTTACTCAGGTGAAAAAACATTATTTACGCAGTTACTGTACTACTTATTTAATTAATAACTTAAAATTATTTCATTTTGTATTGTCATTACAATTTACGCGCCAAAGCAGCCATGTTGTTTTTATTTTTACTCATTCTAATTTCAAATTCGTCTGCTGAACTTTTTTTATTTAAGAATTTTGTTGATAATGATAATAATGTTACGACTGATACGCAATATAAACTTCGTGACTTATATAAATATAATAATAGGGGGGATCCCTTATGGGTCTTATCTTTGAGCGGCGATGATTGGATGAACCCAACTTTAAGACTCGGAAGCAGCAAAGAATTGGAAGATTTTTTTCAATATATTGGACCTTTGATGAGAATGTAAGTAGATATCAATTATTATTATTTTCGATTATTTTTATGTTGATTGTACGGTTCGGGCCTTTTACGACTAGTTGTTATCTACGAATTTAAGGCTGTAATTTCACACATTCCTGCACATTTACCATTGTCTTATCATTTATAATTTTAAAAAAATCGCAGTTGCTGCCCCGATGTCATTCAAGATTTTTTTAAACCAATCTAAGAATAGGGAGAATGTCGGGAAATAATGGGTTCTTTGAAATTTTTTTGTTTATTTCTCATATTCAAATAAAATACTGAAGTATTCAATGTTGGCCGTGAGATAAAATAAAAAAATGGTCATCATTCCCTCTATTGATATTTTTCTGTGACCATAGTATCCAAACAGCTATTTCGGCTGCTTTCTCGAACCTTCGATAGCTCAGTTGGTAGAGCGGTGGACTGTAGTTGGCTTCTAATTGATATCCATAGGTCGCTGGTTCAAATCCGGCTCGAAGGAATTCTTTTTGCTTTATTTTATGACGACTTTTATTTCACTACAGATAAAATTATTTGAATAAGATATCAATATATCTATACTAAAACGTAATCGTCTGATAAATATTGTTTGTAAATATGAAATATTTTATCTTCAATAAGTAGGTAATCGGTTTTGTATCTATTGAAACTTTATTCGTTTTATAAAAATTAAGATACCTAGGCGGTATAATATTTAATTAAGTACTAGCATATTTACGGGCCTGGTCAACAAAAGAAGGGCTTCTACCATAAACTCTACGCATAGTGTATGAGTATGCTCATATTTTAATAAAACGTTAATGATTATTATGTACTTTTTTATTTTAAAAGCTTCGATTGAGTTTTGGGATACATTCAAAACTCGCCCCGGGTGCCATCTATGCTAACTACGCCACTGGGTTGGAGATTAAAACAGATCAAAAGTTTGTGGTCAACAGAAAATGTTGCTATCCTATCTCCGTTCTTATCTCATTAAAAATAATAATAAATCATAATCATCTCACTAATGTTATAAAAGTGAAGTTTCTTTATTTGGATGTTTGTCCGTCAATAATGCTGAAACTACTGAACGGATTTTGATGAAATGGTATACAGGCAGAGCACGGGCTGACTTAGGTGATGGGATACTTTTATCACGATTAAATGCTCCCATGGGAAATAACAGGAATCATATTCTACGCAGACGAAGTCGTGGGCAACAGTTAGTCATCAGATAAAGGGACCATTTTGTTTATTCTAATTTCTATTGTTATCATAGGTACCTACTTTAATATTTTCATCTCAAACAGAACTCGAGGGCGGTTTTCAGCAAGAGTGAAGAAAAACGACCCAAATAGAGCAAATTCCAATGAAGACTCACTGCAAGCACCAACACAGAAAGATTTTATGAAAATGATCAATAAGTTCGCGTAAGTAATACAATAAGTCCTTTTTAGGAAATATGACTTACAAAACGTTGTCGTTTTATGTTTTAGGTAGGTACCTAATTAATGATAACTGTATATCGCGCGCGGTTTCACCTCCCACTCGGCTCCTATTGACCGTAGGCGTAGCGTGGTGTAAAGGAACAAACTCTTTATTCAGCTTTAAATGTATAAAATAACAACACATCTTTTATCCCCGAAGGGGTAGGCAGAGGCGCACATTGGCCACTGTACAATGTACTCACATTTCACTATTTATGTTATGAGTGCCATTTAATAAGGGCCTTTTGCCATATACTAGGCACAATTCCAGACTCCGTGCTGCTACTGAGAGCTTTTTAAAAACCCAGTAACCCATCGCCCGACCTGGGAATCGAATCGAAGACCCGTTTCCCGGCAGTCGCATTTGCTACCACTCGGCTAACGAGGCAGTCCCTGTATATGTAGGTATGTAAAGGAGGCCATACACGCAAGGTTTTTCATTATGGTTTTAGCCGTGCATGCATAACCAACAGGCAAGGAAGGAGGTACCTCCTCCACAGTGCAACGCCTGTCACGGCACCTCCCTGTGGAGACCTATGTGTCTCTCCTAGAGCTCTCTGTGCACTGCACGGCGGCACGTGACCACTGTGCCGCCGGACAGGCAAGCCCTAGCGTGCATCGGTGCTCGGTTATGCTTGACGGTTTTGCATGCAAAGTTATAACCATTATGCACCGGGCACCTCTACCGTGTATGGCGTCCTTAAGATGAAATTAATTTTGTTTGCTTATTTTAAACAATATTTTTTTTATTTCCACAGTTTGTCATCAAGTGTTGATCCAGATGCGTACATTACTGACAATAATCAGGAATACGACAGCCCAACAATCACAGTAAGTTTTGCGCCGGTTACAAAGTAGCTTTACCTCTTCCCTACTGCTTTCATACAAAATGAAATCCATAAAAAAATAACTAAACTTTCCAAACGCTAACAATAACTGTTCGAGCAAGTAACTTCGAAGTTGCTCAAGAGTTATGAGCCGCGGTGTGGCTTGAAACTAGACGAGCATCCTTGAACAGTTACGGGAGTAATACTTGTTTTCTAATTAGATAGTATCTATGTGTTACGATGCTACAACCTTAATTTATTTTATAATATCCTATATTTATACTTTCAGATACATTTTAAAGGGCAGAACTCCGTGTTATTAGTGTCTTTGGGCAGCAAACAGTGGCACTACATTATCAACAGTCGGTCGCTGCCAGAATGGTTTTATGAAACCCACGACACTACTGAAAATCCTCTCCCTCTGCCAGACGATGTCAAAATTCAGTTTTTTAATTCGTTATGGCGCTTGTTGCATTTGTTGTTTGGTTTTCCTGTTTAATTTTCTTTGTTTATAAATAAATAAATACATTATGAGGGTTATTATTACATTCACATAAACACCCTACATGGCTGCACATCATAATAAGTTTTGTTTTATGCATGATTCGAACCTATGATTCGTTGTTCATAAATACCATATAAATACATTACATTATTATTATTATTCCTGTCCCCATAACATGGAACAAGTAAACTTAATCCTTATACGTCTATGCTCTAGTATGACGCCCGGATTCATGTCTCGCTCAACCCACTACGACAAACATGAGTCTGAACGAACTGAGGGTAGTCTCTTGTCTTCATAATTTTAGATACATGTCATGTTTAACTTGAGTTTCACATAACACACCAATACACTTTTAATAATACAAAGAGGAACGCGGAATGATATCGAAACGTAAAATATTTTTTTACCTGTGGTCTTTGTGGTTTTACATGCTCTGTGGTTGTTTTCGTTCATTCATTCATTAAATCACTCGTTCATTGATGAATCACGACATTGACGTTTACGATACTTCGCAAATCGCATCGCTGATTGTTTTTTTGTGACTAGCAGTTGCATTGTTTTCAAACTATAATATTAAATTTGTTTTCGTGAAACTGATGTAGGATAAACCTTAAAAAATGTCGTTCGGTAGTTTTGAGAACGTCGGCTCTTTTATAAGGGACTGTAACGGTTCTGTATTGCGATTCGATCAAGCTTGTTTACAAATTATAACAAACCAAGATGTGAGATTTTTGAGTCAATATGAAGAATGCGAGGGATGTGTTCTTCTGGGAACTGCTAATATATCGGAGACTCGTAGCTTGGTGCTGGGTACGGGAAGCCCGCTGAACTATGAAGTGAGAAATGGCAATGGGATTATATGTAATGGTAAGTACCCAAGTATATGACACATTCTTAGCTAAAATGTTGTTGTACCGTAATCGCATGTCTTTGTTCAACTATAAACACGACACGCTCGATGATATTTTAAAATTAGAATATCTAATGCAAACAGACTATAAAATAAATATGATAGTGACCACAAATTCACTCTATGAAGGTATTATATGAATGTAAATTGAGATTTTAGGTAAATCAGTAACATTTTGTTTTTAATTGTATGAGTCACACACAGCTGCCCATTTCTGGTGTATTGTGAAAGTTTCAGCTGTAGAAGTATTTCATAACTGGTTACATAGGCTGAACATGAAGTTTCCTTGGTTCAGTACACTTATTAAACTGTTAATCAAGGTCTATGATATTAATCCTACTAGAACTAGAACACTCAAAGATTTACTTTGATGGAATTAGAGCTTTGATTACTTTAAATTATACCAATAAAATGAATATTGTGGGTATAGTTGTACCCACAGTACCCTTATTTTGATCTTTGATCATTAACTTTGCACAAACAAACCTTTTTGGTTAGTGGTATTATGACCTCTATGGTTCTTTGACCTCCTTTTGTTTTTTTTTTAAATTGTGACTTGTATGTAATAGAAAATTATTATCCTGGATACATATCTAACTTCTTTTATGCCTACCCACAATATGTACAATAACATCAAGGACAATTAATAATAAGTTGAAATGAATGGACAAATGGAAAACAAATGATAATAATAAGGAAGATGGTTTTAGAATAACGAAAACAGGAAAAATTTTAGAAAGGTTATATCACCAAAGAGAAAGATTTGTTTATGTAAAGATAAATACAATAACACATCTTCAAAACTACTACCCATAAAGATCTAATCTTAAATCTGTAAAGCAAACCTTATCTCTTAGAAGTTAAAGTTCATATTACAATGTTATTAAACTCTAGTACATAAGGAAGCTATATAGGTAATCCAATATAACCCTATTATCTAAGTTCACTCACATGATTCATACTATGTGATAACTATGTAAATGCATAGACTAATGTTCGTGCACTATGAAGGTATTAGTCGAAGACTGCATTATACATTATTTATGTGACCTCCTTTTGCAAAAATCCTTTGAAATGAAAAGTAATTGTTTTTGAGAATAGCACTATTCATGTGAACATTATAGGGGCTGGCATTTCCTAACTGACTACTCTGAGACGAAATGGTGCAAACTCTGAGGTGTGTCCTTATAAAGTCCTTGGTTTTGGTTATATTTTTAGATAATTATCTTATTATTATGTTACGGACTTATTATAACTTTGTTTGTATGGTATTATAAAGGTTTTACTTGAGTTATTTCCGATACTGTATGAATATTTGGATTAAACAATACATCCTGTTTTTTCGATAGCTTGCCACTTTTTCAAATCAATTCCACTCACTCAGCACTTTCATAGCCCCCTTTAAATGCAAATAACCAACATTCAGATCATTGAAAGTCAAATTCAAATCATTTGTTTTAGACCAGAAAGGCACTTTTGAATGTCAACCAAAAACTGAAAGTGAAGCTATTCGCTCATTACAAGGTGTAAATTCATATCAACAAGAACAAGCAAGAAATTCCATATGTTACTCTTTTTCAATCAGGTACACAATACAATTTTTAGTTACATTCATTAAAATTGAACAACTTTTTCCTTATTTTTAATTTATGGCCGACCTCCTTATGTTCACTAACTATAAAGATTTTTATCAAAAACTGCATTAAATGACATGTTATCTAGTTCTTATTTGCATTATTATTTTGCACCAGGTATTTTTACAATGATTTTTCCCGAGATACATACTTAATAAAATATTATTTTTTCTGATGACATTGGGTTTAAAGTATGTATCTATCTAAATTTCTTTATATGTATGTTGTATTCCTTTGTTCTATTGTGCTAAGTGTCAATAAAAATTATTGTTTTTAAGAAATATTTTATTAATGTTTGTAACAAACAAATATCAATATCATATTTGAGTTGGATACTTACTTATATCTTACTTTGTACTGATATTATAAAATGCGAAAGTTTGTGAGGATGTATGTGAGTGTGTTTGTTACTCTTTCATGTCAATACGGCTGAAGGGATCTATTTATTTCCAATGACTTCTCTCGCCCGGGTGAGGCGAAATGAAGTGTCAGACTCATACTGACTAAAAAACCACTTCGTTCCTACTCCTGTACTACGAGCCGGAGCCCCGGCAACCTGTTAAGTCCTCCGCAGCTCTGTATCGCCCCTATTGGGCCCCACCTGTTGTGGTCTGATGGCTCGTACTGGCGCGCGCGGGATGCGACGCGCCGTACGCTTGGGTCTGGTTCTGGTTGGGCGGCGAGTCACCCGTGCTTACCGTCTGCAGGCCCGTATTTACGGTGGCCGGAGATCGTCTCGCGATCTCCGACGCCCATAGTTTCTCTCGCGACGGATGGGGCGTGAGGAAGTTCGTTCCCTCACGCGCCCCGCATTCATTCGTTCCAGCATGACTGCTTCGCAGAAGGATGTGACGGCAATCCAGTCCCCCTCGTTCCGGACCATAGTCTGAACTAGAGCCGGAGGCGAGAGGTCGCTGGGACGTGCTGGATGAAATTTGCAACAGAAACTTATTATATGGGTTATTCTCCATAAGCTACTTTTTATCTTACGTGAACATGGGCAAAGCTGCGAGCAAAAGCTAGTGGGTAATATTATTAAGCTAAAGGGTTTGTTAGTTTGTTTGAACATGTTTCTCCAAAAGTACTGATTCGAATTGGATAGTTATTCTTTTGTTCGATAGTTTATTTATCAAGGAAGGCCAAAGGCTGTAGAACTGCACACTATAATCGCTAGGATAGGCTGAGCAGCAGGTTATATCACCCGTGAAGAACTAGTTTAAAACTAAGTATGAAAGTATAACGTAACGTAACATCACACCTTTTTATCCCGAAGGGGTAGGCAGAAGTGCACAATACAGCACTTAATGCTACTACAATGTAACCCCCACTTTTCACTATTTATGATATTAGATCCATGTAATAGGGGGTGAGCCTATACCGAGCACAATTCCAGACTCCGTGTTACTACTGAGTTTTTCTTAAAAAACCCAGTAATACTTTGTCCGTTCCGGAAATCGAACCCCTTGATCTTGCAGTCGTACTTGCGACCACTCGGCCAACGAGGCAGTGAAACTATGTACCTACTTATTTACTTAACACTGTCTGCATATTGAAATAATCTCAGCCTTACAAATGACCTCTTTTATTGAAATAGCTCGACAAAACCAGTTCCACAGCATATCAGTTACGCACTTACTAATGCTTCGAATACTTTAGTACTGAATTAGTCATTTTATGAATTCAACAAATTAATGCATATCTATACAAATTGGTGGTATATTTTCGACCTTATTGCCAAGTGATAAAGTAATGTCAATTACTGTCTTACGGTCAAGTCATACGATCAACAAGACTTTTTTGAGGGAGGAGGGGGAGGGGAATTTCATCTTCATTGTCATTATCGAATGGTTCCTCCTTCCTTGGGGGAGGCGGCAGAAAGTACCAGACAGAAAGTCATTAAGGACTTTGAACTGGGACTCCGGTAACCCGATAGGTCATTCACTTCAGAGTTCTGAGCCAACAAGAGCTTGAGTTCGATTCTCGAATTGCGTTGAACTGAGTTTCAATTGTATGGTTGAGGCTCACCCCTTAGTACATGAGACTCTTATTAGGTATATTAGGGGACCCTTTGAAAAATCGTCTTTGGATTATAATATTTTTTTTTTCTTTTCAGGCACCTATCAGTTCGGTGAATATGGCCAGTATATCCTGAACGTCACTGACGTCAAAACTGACACATGTCTTCCACGAATGACAGCGGAACCGGATGCGGCGTATCTGCCAATTCTGACAGCTGTCGTCATCCTTTTGTCTATGGCCACTCTCTGGTATGTCGTGAAAGGAGTCGGAAAGAGAATTGTCGCTGGTCGGCTGTATGCTAGATATTTTGCAAGGTTTGTATTTGAGATTATTTAGAATTTTATTTCTTTTATAATCCTATTGAAATGCACATAAAATTACTATGTCTTACCAGGGTTACCTATGGTTCAAACCCCATGTAATAGTAGTGATCTTATGTTTCGCTTAAGGAATTAACCCAATTACACTGACGCTGAAATACTCAAACGCCATTTAAATTTTAAGTCGCGCTTAAGTATAGTTCT